AGAGAGAGAGAGAGAGAGAGAGAGAGAGAGAGAGAGAGAGAGAGAGAGGGGATGGCTTGTGATGGAGTAGTCTGGGTAGCTTTCAATATAGCATACCAGAAACCCTACGTGTGATTTGATCTCTTCACGAAGATGACAGTGTAGAAAGGCTAGGAGGACACTTAGGATGGCTGGGTCACTGGGGCACCAAAGGAAACCCAAACATCAAATCCCTGTTGAGTCTCTGCAGAGGGCAGCAGGGGAAGACTCAGGAGACAACTCTGTTTGCAATCATCTGTCTGCTCTGTCCAAGTCACACCTGGAACCCCAGGACGGAGCAGTGAGGGAGCATCTCTGGACGCCGTGAGGCCACCAAGGGTGCCTGGACTGTAGTCCTTTTTTGTCCTCCAGAACGGAGCACAGGTGGTAGGCGAGAGAGTGGAACAGAGATCTCGGTTTCAGGCCTCTGAGATGACTCCGAGAGTTTGTCATCTTCTCCCACCAGGCAGCAAGGACTATGGTACTGAGAATTCAGCAATGAATAAAGCCCCGAGATCACGACCAGGCCACCGCTCCCCTGACACTCATTTCTCGGCAGTTACTTAAGTCCGTCGGCATCGGCTTAGCTGCTCTAGCATCAGCTCTCCGCTCCAGAAAACAGTCAGCTAGGCAACACTCCCTCAGGGTGACCAGTCCAAGAGTCTCTGCGTTCACCCTTAAGTGACTCGTGGCTATTGCCATGGTGACCAGGCCTCCTGACTCCCCCTCGCTTCCCATGAAAGGCAATTCCCCCAAGTTCAGCTTTCTATTCTCCTCAACGTCACTGGTAACATGCTTGCCACCTTGTTAAACTAATGAGCCAGAAGGACAGCGGCAGTCACTTCACACCCATACCCCCAGCCAGAGATTCTTCCGTAGACAGTGCGGCATGTAGGCCATGGCCGGGTCTCAGTAATCCCACGTGGGGTGTGGGTGGCAAGTTTATCCATGATCATGTCTTTCTGGGAGTGCCAGCAAGGGGCTTCACAAGCCTGGAGGCTCTTGAAGTTCAGAGTCCCATAGCTACTAGGACTAGTCACATACTGGGACTAGGTGAGCTCAAAGGCCCAAACCCCAGGAAGGTCAAAAGTTCCATCCCACACAAATCCTCCACACATCTCTAAACTGCTTTTTCTACAACTTCTAGAATGTTCCTGGGTTACACTGTCAAAATGCTCGAGACAAGAAATGGTTCAGATCTGTGTCTCCCTCCGCCAGATTTCTGGAATATTTGTACATGCATAGTGAGATACCTTGGGATAGGATCCAAGTCTAAACACGAGGTTCGTTTGTGTTTCATACGTATCTTACACACAAAGCCCGGAGATAGCGTTACAGAGGATCTCCGTGTGTCTGCACTGTCACTGGGACCCACTATGTGAGGTCAGACACGGAATTTCCCACTTGTGCCATGCTGCAGATCCAAAAGTTTCAGCCAGGGAGTATCTTGGACTAAGGATGCTGAACACGAAGGCAACCACTGGACGCAGAATGTCAGGAAATGGAGGACACATCCAATCCCCAGAACACACCGACAGCAGAGAAGCCCGGGGTCCTACCTGGATGGGGTTGTAGAGCTCCTGCAGCGGACTTCGCGAGCCCTTCCGGCAGCAGATGTCCATACCGAAGGGATTCCTCCGCATGACTGAGGAGAGAAAGTGAAGTTCATCAGAAAATAGCTACAAAGGTTTGCCGACCAAGAGAGGGAAAGGCATGTGGGAGGGAGGAGGAGGCAGAGGGCAAAGCAGGAAAGCCTGGCTTCTGCCAGAGAAATCCCAGTGCTGTCCCCGACGGGTGTCCATACCCTGACATCACGGACCACACGAAATCGCTTTCCACAGCACAGGAGAAAATAAGACAGGCACCAAAGCTCACTTAGACACAGCCCCTCACAGAAGGCACCTTCAGACTACCCAAGGAAGTGGGCGTGGCTGTCCTGGGTGTCTTGGCATAGTCTCGCGTCACCCGGCAACAGGGCTGTGGTCTGAGAACTGTATCATGAGGTGACAAAGTCACACACACTGAGAAGGTGCCAGATAGTTGTTCCCGGAGGCCGCCTGGTGAGGCTGCCCAGGCGACTAGGAAGACTTTCAGTGTAAGCATCCGCCCTGGTTGGCTTTCTGTGGCTGTGATAAACGCCAGAACCAAAACCACCTGGGGAGGAAAGCTTACAGCTCCTCATGGAGGTAAAGACAGAGCAGGCACACAAGACAGGAACCTGGAGGCAGGAACTGAGGCAGAGGTACGAAGGGACCCTGCGGACTGTCTCTGTTCTTCATGGTTCAGTCTGCTTTCCTATACCACTCAGGACCAGCTGCCCAGAGGTGGCACTACCCACAGTAAGATGGGCTCTCCGCCATCAATTAGCAACCAAGGAAATGTCCCACGGGCATTTTCAGGCGAACCAGAAGGAGGCAAACCCTCAACCGGCTTCCTCTGACAGGTATGTCAGGCTGACAACTAAGATGAGTTATCAGGGCATCCTCGTAAGAAGAAATACAGTCTAAAGTGACAATAAAAACCAGAGGACATAAATACAGACCAGCAACACTGTCTGATGTCACATCCTGTACCTTATGGGACGCGATGTGCAGGCAGTGTGTGGGCTTATCCCAGTGCCACCGAAGACCCGGGAGTGGCTTGCTGTAGCAGCTCTATGACATTTCCATGGCAATGGTGTCACTGTGGTGGAACTTTTCTCTCTAACATACTCTCACACGGTCCGATGCTGACCGAATCCCAACCACGCAGTGTGCAGGCAACACCTGAGACAATGGCTCTTCCTCCAGGCGCCTAGGACCCGGGCTCCTGAGAACGGGGTGGACCATTTCCTAGGGACCCCTCCGCAGTAAGTCAGAAGCCCTGTCTTTCCCACGTCTTAGACAATCTGCATTTCCATTAAAATGTCAACCCGTGGCAGAAAGGTTCTAGAGAGACGCAGCACTTGTGACTGATAGGAGAATTAGAACTCCTTTCACCCGTCAGCAGCGAGGGGGCCAAGAATCCTTGTCAACAGAAATGAGCCCTTTCTTCATTTTTCCCATTCATGAAACACCCTAAAACCATGCACTTCCAACATTAACACCTTACTACAGACAGAAGGAGGGAGAGGAGAGACGAAAAAAGAGAAGGAGGGAGGGAGGAAGGGAGGGAAGAAGAAAGGGAGGGAAGGAGGGAGGAAGGGAAGAAGGGAGAGGAAGAGGAGAGGAAGAGAGGAGGGAGGGGAGAAAGGGAAGGAAGGAAGAGAGAGAGAGGAGGGGAAGAAGGGAGGGAGGAAGAAGGGAGAGAGAAGAGGGAGGAAAGGGAAAAGAGAAAAGGGGGGAGCGGAGACGCAGGTGGAGGAAGAGCAGATGAACGTGGGCTTTGTTGAAATATCAAACAGTTCGTTAAGGAGTAATGAAGATGAATGGAACAAGGCCAGCAGAGAACCCCCTGGTATGTGGGGCTTGGGAGATGGCTCATTTGGCAATGGTGGCCAAGGGCACATTCCCCCATCCCCTGGAACAGGTGGCCTGGGTTTGAATCATGGCTCTAATCACACACCAGCTATGTGACCTTAGGCAAACCATCTATTCCCTCTGTCTGCCCCTCACCTGTGTAAGGAAGAGAGCTGAAAGCGACCCTCTCTGGGCTGGTTGTGAAGGCTGAGTTACACAGACTGTTTAAAAAGTGCTTGGCGAATGGGCAAGCTCCAAGTTCCTGAAGCTGTTCCGGAGAGTCCACTAGATTTGCACATGGCATATGATCAGCGTTGCTCGGCTCCTGGTAGAAGGACGGGAATACCTCTCCTCCTCAAGTAGCACGTGGGCTGAGAGGGAGCTGGCCACACTCCAATCAGGATATAGCCAAAAGACTAAGAGGGCTGGATGAGGGGGTTGCTGTGCAGGTGTCAACCCGAGGAGGTCAGAAAGCAAAGAGGCTGGGGCTTGGGAGATGGTTCATTACAAAGCCATCACCATAGAAGCATGCAGGATTGAGTTTTGATACCCAGAAGCCACATTAAAAAAAACAGGTATAGTGTCATATGTCCAAAAGGGGGTCACCCCAGCTCTGGAGAAACAGAGGGGACAACTCTGGAGCTCATCAGCCAACTGACCTAGCTGAAACGCTAAGTTCCAGGTTCAAACAAGGTGTCATATGACAGACGGAGATGCTTGACAGCAACCTCTGGCTTTGCATGTGCATTCATGTGTGCACACATGCATGCGCGCGCGCACACACACACACACACACACACGCTCATACAATGTGAAAAGTAATTTTCACAAGCAACAGGTAACTTCTGGAAGGTTTCCAGGGGAACCAACTCCCTCTGCTGACTTCTCCCTTTGAGCCTGTGGAAACCCTGAGGGGAGAGCATCCACGCCTGGTAGGAGGTGCCACGTGTCCTCTCTCCCGTTCCTTACCTTCCTTGGGGGAGGCTGGCAAGCTTTCTCTGGAAAGGGCAAGTGCCACTTAGCAATGTGTCACCGTAGGGTCAAAGAACAATAGGCAGACAAAGAGGAAGGCCTGTACGGCAGCCAGCTAGCAAGCTCCATTTAGGAGCAGGAATCGGACGCTCACCGAATCTTCCTGTGTTAGGAAACATCTTTCTTCTGTTGTTTTGTTTTAATGGCTTAACAAAAATAGGCAGTAGGCGGAGTTTGACCCTGAGGCTGGAGTTTGGTGATCCCTGTCCTGGAGCCTGGTGCGCCAATACAAGCGCTGCACACACCCTGCAAGCCCCGCAGCCTTCCCACGGGAGGAGGGATCTATGAGCAAAAGTCAACACATAAAAGCCGCTAGAATTTGATTAGGCTGTCCAGAAAAACACTGGCTCGTTGTTCCTCCACGGCTGCCCCAGGAAAGTGAGGGAGAAACTCTACTTTGTGTTTTTCTTTAATTTATGACTTCATTTTTCATTTCCACCAAAAAGGAGGCAAACCGTTGAGGGCACGCAGGTCCTCCATCTGCACAATGGCATACCGGCACTTGGACGAGAGAACACGGCCATAAAACGTGTGAAACCGTGCCCGTGCCATACAAGACTGAAGTTCCCGTGTGGCAGTAGACAAGCTCATCGGGACCTGCCACACTGAATATTCCACGGTAGAACCCATTAAAAGCCTGATTTTACAGGGGGCAGTATTATTTAATTGGTTTATTTTCCTAAAACAAGGTCTTTAAGAATCCTGGACGTGTGGGGCCTGCAGGTCAGGTCCTTTACCTGTGACTTCATGGGGCGCCTTGTAAACTGACTTTGGCACCCCAGGCCACAAAAGCCAAAGGGGCCTTTGTGCTATTTATAAGGGTGACAACAAGTCTGCCCTGTGCAGAAGGTCCTGTATGTGCAGAGAACACAAAACCTTTCGGGGGGCATCACAATGCTCTGAACATCTTACTGTTTGGATGTTTGTATTTCAGACTTTTTGGGCGAAGAACAAGCAACCGGTCCTGCAAGATGGTTCAGCGGATAAAGGCATATGCTGTCCAGCCTTAAGATCTGAGCTCGATCCCTGGGACCCCAGATAGTGGGAGGAGAGAATAGACGCATGCAATTTGTCCTCTGATAATCACAGGTACATATGCTCACACACACACGCATGTGCACACACACTTGCATAATTAATTGGTTTTCAAGAGAATGAAAGAATGACCAGCTCATAGTCTAGGCAAATATCCAAATGGAAGCTATCGTCCTAGGCGTCCTGAACGTGAGTGGTAAACTGAGTCTACAAATCCTCACAAAACCCCTATCTGTATTCAGGCCACCAACAATAGTAACGTCCCCAGAGACCCATGCTGTGGGAAATCCTTCTGTATATGTGTTGCTTTTATTGGTTAATGAAAAAAGAAGTTACTTTTGGCCAGTGGCTTAACACAGAATATAGCCAGGCTGAAAGATATATATGTATATATATATATATATATTATAAAGAGTAGGTGGAGTCAGGAAGGTGCCATGGAGCTGCCAGAGGGGAAAGATGTAAGCTGCCAGCTGGAACCTTGCTGGTAGGCCATGAACCTCGTGGTAAAATATAAAAGAATGAAAATGGGTTAATTCTAGATGTAAGAGCTAGCTAGCAATATGCTTAAGCTATTGGCCAGACAGTATTGCATATAATAGTTTCTGAGTGATTATTTCGTGGTCTGGGCAGCCAGGAACGAACAAGTGGCCTCTGTCAACAGACCTGTGTCTGTGAGCTTCCATCTTACTTCCAAGAATCTTTGGTGTTTTGAATCCCATTTGTTGAGAGTCTGAGGGGTTCTAAGACCTCATCCGGCCATTCTTACTCACTCTCAAAGGATAAAAGTGGGCAGGTGGAGGGGCAGAATGGCCTGCCACACAGGGGTCTGCAGAGCTGGCATCGGATGGCCTGGTCTATACTGCTCTCATCCCCAGTAGCCAGGTCCCACAGCAGACGCCACTGTCCCTCTATGAATTCACATCTTGAAGATGGTTACATTGGCCTTCTTAGCTAACACAGTTAAGACAGAGCTAGGGAGGTAACCGTGGCTATAAGGACCTGAGTTAGATCTCCAGGTGCCGTGTAAAAAATGCCAGGCTTGCTGGTGCACACCGGTAATCAGACAGGAGAGCCCAGGGAGGGAGACCACGGGCCAGATAATCTAATGAGTGACCTCCAGGCCAATGAGAGGTCTTGT